CTGCAGTAAATTGCTTTGATTTCTTGTGGGGATTTTGTTTTGTTTTTTATTTGCAGTTGCATTATGATCTAATAATCAAGTTGATTCTTTCATCAATGAAATTTTGGGATGCATATAGAAGTCCTTACATACAAGGACTTAATCACATAATGCAATAAGGTAAAAGGATAGATTTTTTTACATGTAATAAGATCAAGGGAAGATAAATTATGTGGATAATATTCCACATTCACATTTTTTTTCCTCATCCATCCACCCCCAATTTTATAGATTTTATGTATCTATAAAACAAGCTGTATGCTCTATCGGTCATAGGCATGTTTAGTGTACTTGTTTCATAGACAGCACTGCATAACAGATGAAATGCCATGGAGGTTCAGCCCTTTCTGGAATTCTATTTTATTCTGAAAGCTGCTTCAAGTGCTAATTTCTGTTCTGATTGTCAAGTTCTTTTGGGCAAAGAATGAACGAACACTTAGTACTCCGGATTGCTCATAGAAATTAGTAATTTTGGAAGGGAGAAATCATGACTAGAAGAGTATGTGAACTGATGGAATCCTAAAATTGCTTCTGCCATTATTCAGTCTTAAGTGGTTATTAATACAGAACAGATTGTAGAAGTACTATAGCAATAGATGGTGAAGAAAGAGCCACTGTTGGCAATTCTAGGCAAAATTCCAGGATGACAGCTTTTAGTGTCATGTAAATGAATCTAAGAAAAGTTTGGAAACAAGTACATATGAAATACAAATCTTGCTAGAATGCGTGAGCAGATGGCCAAAATGAAGGGGCAGTGGTAGATATCAAAACTTTCTGTGAGAATCACTTCAGAAATATAGAAGATATAGAATTTCCTCTGATTTTAAGGAATTGCATAGCTAAAATACTGTCCCAGCCCAATTTTTGGAGTAATATTTTGCCCAGGCAGACGTTAAAGAAACTTAGCACTAACCTGCAATAATAAACTAGCTCCTCTCAAAGCCAAAATATATAGCTCCAAATATTTCTTACAACATAGTAAGCCATCCTGTAAACTTGTTTTCCCAGATTAAGGTGGAGAGCTCTTAATTCTTTCTTCTGGAAAAGAAATAACAATCTCATTCCCACATCCTTGTGTATGTGTATCTAAAACATTATATATTTTGTGATTATTTCATTTTGAATTAACATATTTTGATTTTTCAGAATACATATGGTACTAATATTTCAAGAAAATAAACAAACTGAAATTACTAATACAGGAACTAATACAGGAATTAGTTGAAAAATGCATTATCGACATTAAACAATATGAAAATCTGGGTGATAGGTTATTTATCCATTCACCATCCAGGATCTTCACCACATCCATAGCCGGAACAGGCAAGCTTCAGAAAAACTGTTGCTATCTACCGTACAGCGGCCGAATTTAACAAAACCCAAACCAATCATAAATGCAGAAATGCCACCGAATATAAATTCCAGATTAAAATCTCTTTGTAGAGGCCTGGAATGACAGTTTATTCAAGTCTAACCACTCTGTGTGGGAAAAATAACTGCAAGCCTATTATTTGTGTTGATGTGTTTGAGTCTGTTACTTTAAATTTGAGGCTGAAGATCAAAATGTGAAGGATTTTTTTTTTTTTTAGTGTCTTTAAGTCAGTTTTTTATTTGTGGCTGGAAAAGTCCCTGCATTTTTTTTGGCATAGTTTTCAAAAATGGTTTGCCCTTGCCCCCTTCCTAAAGCTGAGAGGGAGTGACTGGCACAAGATTAGCTAACTGGCTTTATGCCTAAGGCAGGACTAGAACTCATAATGTGCAGTTTGGTCTCCCATTTTCTAGCCTTAACTACTAGACCAAACTGGCATATTAGAACAGTATATTTATATGTACGTGTGTTTGTAGGTAAGTGATGTATTAGACAGATGGAAGAGGGAGGCTGGTGATGGTATCAGACTGAGTCAATTTTGCCCTTTGTGCAGAGATACCTATTCTCCACCCCCTTCACAATGTTCCAGATTCTGATCTACCAAACTCTGTAGCAACTTCTAAAGGAGCAGCTTTCCCAAGTTCAACCTGGAAATATCAGTGATTAAACTTGGGACTGACATTACAGATTTGTTCTGCATCGTGAGAATCCTTCCTGAAGAATTATGTTCATACTGTCAGATTTCAGGGAACTGCTGCTAAGACCTTTCTTGTTTCAAGAAAAAGTACGAATTCTATTTATTAATTCCAACTAGAGAAAGATTTCTGTATAGTGTAGGACAACATATTTTTCCCTTCAAGTCTAACCAAATCTTTCTTTTACAGTCAGAATATTTTAAGGTTCATCTCTCACTAGAGATAAACTGTGTAATCAATATCTTGTGAAATTTATAATTGATAACTGCCTTGTAAAATCTAAAATTGCATAAACACATAACAATTTATTAAATTCATATGCCATAACTTTGGCATGATGATCTTTCTTATTCTTCGGCTCAAGAACATCTAAATATTTTCAAAAAAATTTTTGGAAAGATGAAGACAGGAAAGCAGATTTTTGAGAACACAAAAGAGACTTAGTGAGGTTAGGAAATCTGTGCTTCTGGTTTTGCCAACATAATTCTAGTCTTATTGGATTTAAATCCTGCTGTACTAGGCAGGATACAGTATGTAATGAAATACGTACTTATTTCTTATGAAAATATACAGTCATGCAAATTGCTAGATTCCTTTGGAAGATATATCTTGGGAAAAATTATTCCTGTTCTTGCTTCTGAACAATTTCATTTATGCTTCCTGTAACCAGAACCTGCATATGGTAATCTTAGCTGCTAGATTAGGCAATTTTTGATTCAATTACATGCACAGAAATCTTAAAGTTAAATACAGTCCCATATCTGATTCTAAGATCTGGCAAAGGGAATAAAACAAATAATCTATGCCAATAATCAAGAAGAAAAATATTGAGCGGAAATTTTTAGATTAAAAAAAAAGGAGAAAAAGAGAGACAAAAGCACAAAATGATTTTGGGTCACATTTCATGTTAGAAAATATTTTTAATTTATTTAATATCATAATTACCTACTCTTGTCATTATATTGTATATTTTCTTTTTTAAAAAAATGCAAACAGATTATTGCATAACATTACTTCCAAATTAGCCCAGAAAGATTCACTGTCTTCAGATACAATATGAAAGGTGTATTAATGCTGAACATTAGTCTCCAGGAAAGATTTAGGCCAAAGATTTTTTTGTGTGAAAAGCAGCATCCATTTCATTATCTTTGTTTGATTTTCTTAAAACAGAACAACGTTGGCAAGGAAAAGACAAGCTGGAAACATTTTGTTTGTGCATTTCTGCAGGGTGACTTTTACTTGCATCTCAGCATCTAATTCTAGAGGTCTTGTAGAACATAGCTAATACTATATTATAAACAATACTATTTATAATAATATTATAAATATCACTGAGCTATACAAAGTGACTTTGAATAGTGTATTTATATTTCACTGATGTTGTGGATTGATGGTATTGTGTCCATGAAAATGATAAAAATTAGGAAATATATTCACAATGCAAAATACTGTCTTTTAGTTTCTTAGACAGTTCAAGCATATACAGCAGATATATAATAACGCTCAGGAATTTTTTATTGTCTAAAAAAAACAATCATGAAAAGATGAAATTCTATTTATATCTCAATACCTACTTAGTGCATTCTGCTGAGTTCACTTTTGAAAGACACACATAAGTGTGTAAACACACACACACAATGAATACATACATACATACATACATATGATTGCTAACAAAGAATAAAGGGAGAACTGGGATAGCTATTTCGAGTTTCTTAACTCTCTTCAGCCAGACTTACCCTTCTGAGATTCGAATATATATATATATATATATATATATATATATATATATATATATATATATATATATATATATACGGTAAATTTCTTCCTCCCATATTTGGGCTGACAGGGTGCATTAAAAAAAAACACTCAAGACATATATATATACATACACACACACACACACACACACACACCCATACTTGTTTTCTGAGGTTTTCGCGGGTGTTTGTATGTAGGTCTTTGATTATTTGGGTTTTCTTCCGCGTAAAATTGGAAGTGTCTTGGCGATGTTTCGACGAAGTCTCATTCGTCATCTTCAGGCTGGTGCTTTCAGCTTCGTGCTCCTAGAAGCTTCTAGGAGCACGAAGCTGAAAGCACCAGCCTGAAGATGACAAATGAGACTTCGGCGAAATGTCGCCAAGACACTTCCAATTTTACGCGGGAGAAAACCCGAATAACCAAAGACCTATATACCCATACATATATACATATATATACATATATATATACACACACACTCACACACATATAGGTGTGTGTGTTTGAATTTTATAAAAATACCAAAAGTTAATCCCTTGCACTCAGATACTGAGCATTAACCCTTTGAGTACTTCATCCCACCTGCAAAGACTGCAGAACACATTTACCTGACCCATATTTTTATAGCGTCCCATTAAAAATCATTTGTTTATATGCAGCGTGATGAAAAAAAGTCACTGAACATAAATGGATTTAGAATGTAGTGATACATATAATGCAGATAATACAGATAATGAACTGAGCTCTATTAAGATTGTCAGGAGGAGAAGCCCACTGACATGAAGCAAGATTTTTCCCCCCAAGGAACGAATTGTTAAGGTTAATTGAATGTGTGACATCTTTATCAACTGACGTCTAACATCCACTTAATATTGAATGTTTCAAGAATATCTTCAAAGAGGTGGTTAAAAAAAAAATCCAGCTGGCGGCACAGCTATGTGATCAAAACTGGTCCTTTCTACAACACATGTAAAAAAGGAGCAGAGCTTCAATTGTGTGGTGGTGGCCACCATTTTGATTTTGTTGATTCCTTCCCTGGTTTTTTTCTTTAAGCGTGGAATTACTGATTATTTTTCATCATGGCTCCCCAACACACCTTGAGCTGTATGGTTCTATTCATATTAAGTCACCAGTTTAAAACTGCACTGTACTTTATTTTAAATCTTAAACAGCAACTATACAGTAATTCTCTTATTCATGTTTATTAGTGCAATGTGTTCAGATATTCATAGACTTTTCTCCCCCCCTAAAAAAATAATAAAAACAAAACTTTTTTGCTGAAAGTTCATGAACAGAGAGTAATGTTGGCCCTAGAGATTACTAGATCTGAACAGAATAAATCAGTGAAAGGTCAAATATGTATGGAAATATAAAGGCAATCGCATTTTTGTTTTAGCAATGGATTAAAAAGGCATGACAAAGAAGGTGATTTCATCCCAAATACAGCATAATTTAAACATCTGCTCTTAAGTGATATTTCATTACAGTGAAGTCCTATATGCATTTCCTTAGCAATGAGGGCCAGGGGTTTGTTTAGAATGACCATCAAAGTCACAAAGCTTTTACTAGTTACTCTTGGACTGGACTGCTATGATGATGATCATTGCATAACAATGCACATATAAGTCTTCCCTCCAATCTGGAAATATTCTCAGGAAACAATCCAATCAAAGTTAAGCACTTTGGGTTTCAGTGTTGAAAAAAATGCAGTCCAGTACTCAGGTTATGTCTTGTTCATTGACATCAATGCATTTTCAAAGTGCTTAGCTCGGGCTGCTGATGCCCTACTTTATTTCTTAAGTGAATAATTGCAATCATCAAAGAGTTAATGGGAAAGCACTACTTTGCCTTGATTGATGATGATAGGGCTACCCGCAGGTTAATTCCCAAAAGCAAATGGACCAAAGAGTGAAACTGGTAGAGAGACAGCTACTAGAGACATACACAGTGCCACATTCAATGGGACATGCTTTGCGGAGACATTAGAGTGCACCCTTATCAAAGCAATCTTTTAACCTTGTAGAAAGGATTGTGCCGCTTAAAGGGGTGCAGAGGATACGTTTCTCTTTTTTTCTTTTCGTAGAGTCAAAATGCTCTAGATTAATACCAACATGGACAGATCACAGCCTTTTACAATAGGGTATTTTTTTTTCCTTTGTACATATGCAACATTAGAAAACAACAAATGGCATTATCCTGACAGATGTCATGCAGAAATTAAAAATATTATTAATAACAATAATCTTAACAACAAAAAAGGAATACAACCAGTACAGCACTGTAGATGTTAACGTAGGACTTTACCTAGTGTTTCTTTCCAAAGAGAAAGAAGACAGAACAGTGACATATACACTACATGGTTTCACACGCCATAGGCTATAGAAGATCTTTAGAGGCAGTATCGTTTTTATAGGCCTAAAAAGCTGTGTTAGGCTGGTTATAAAATCCTTTCTTTTTCTGCTGACTTCAAAAATTAATAGAAAACCATTTGTGTTGCAAAAATAATCAAGGAAAGGCGGTGATAGTGATATGGGTAGAAAGGTATCTGATGCCGATACAGATTAAAAAAAATAAAAGGAAAACAATACCACATTACATAATATAGGAAGTCCTTGACTTATACTTTTTGTTTAACAATGGTTCAAAGATAAGTGCCTGGAAAAAGTAACTTATGATTTGTCCTTTCATCTACCACTCTTGCATTGAGTGCTTGGCAACTAACTCACATTTATAACCAGTTGCCACATCCTGCTGTTATGTAATTTGGGGCAAAATAAACCGCCGCCCACTGAAGAAGCTAGATTTGCTTAGTAACCATGGGAGTTGCTTAACAATTGCAGTGATTCACAATGACCATCATAAAAATTGTCGTAAAATTGGGTCCAACCCTACTTATGACTGCAGCAACATACGACAGAAATTCCAATCTCAGTTGTGGTCATAAGTCAAGGACTGCCTGTAGTAACAAACACCTCTTAGTCTGCTTCCTAGATTTACGTTTTCGTTCTTCCTTGAACATTGTTCTATCATTCTTTTAAAAATAATTTCAAGACTGCCCGCTTTTTAAAAGCCTTATTAAGAAAAAAAAAATAGGTTGAAAACCTGTACAGTTATTTTATGTGCTACACAAACACGTAGAATCTTATTCAGTTTAGAAGGAAAACAAAGACCAACAGTACAAATCTAGCTAGGTCTACTCAGAAGTAAGCCCACTGAATTTAATTGGGCTTACTCCCAAATTGCTGTATATAGGTTTGCAGTCTAAGATGCTTTGAGCTGCAAGTCGAGAAATGTGGCCTACCAACTACACAGTAGTTTCATTCTTCCATGGCCCTGTTTTGATATTTCCTGTACTATCTGAACTGTAAATCATGGCTTCATGCAGGTTTCCCTTTAGAATTCCATTGTGGCTGGTTGTGCTGAAGGGCAAGGATTGTGTCCGTGGATGCATTTCAAAATGGGGGCCTGTCTCAGTTTCTGGGAGTTTAGCACAACTATAGATCACAGTACTTGCATCACTACTTTCAGGCTGAGTGATGGTTGGATAGGGGCTGTTTTTTGCACAACATGGCCGCCTGTGGCCCGAGTGACGATCATGTGTACTGTGTGGACTGTCTGTATGTGAACTGTGTATACTGCCATCAATACTTGAAGGAATGTGGTAAGCATACTCCCTTTCTCCTGCAGCTCGATGTCGGCTGAAATATCGTGGTTTAGTTCTACTTTTCAAACATCTGTGAATGTGCATGTTGGGTCTGAAAGTCCCTTCGTTGTGTACATGAATATGAGCTTCATCTTCCAGGAGCTGGTCACAATGCATTTTTGCACAACACGGTGTGACTGGTGAAAGGCAGTTGACGTGGTTCTGAACAGCCTGTAGATTGGTGAGTTTGCAATGACTAATGGCTGGGTGATTAAAAACAGCCGATTTACCTGGGCATGGTGAGTCTTGAAGACATGAGGCATGAGCTTGGCTTTCACCATTGACATTAACTTTTGGACGGACGTTGACTTGCACCGAGTAGGTGTTTCTTCGAGAAGGGCAACAAGACCACCAACAATGCCACACATCATCTCGCTTGGCACAGTGATGGATGAGGATGAAGAGTCCTAAGGTTACACAAAATGCTCCATACAGGCAACTAAATATCATATCCAAGAAATGTCCTTGGGAAACAGCCAGGGCACCAAAAGTCCAGGTGGCAGTAAACAGAAACAAAGTGAATGCAGCAGCTCGAAGCTGAGCCTTGAAGGAGTGCTCATTTTCCAACAAGGATGAAGACATCATTGAACAGGTTGCCTGGGAAACTGATCCAAGGTCTGTCAGGTGACTATGGCCAAGTTCAGGACTTGCCAACCTCTGCTGATCTTCTATCCTTTCCTTTAATTCATACTTGCGTTCTGGATGACGCCTTAATTGCACATAGGTGCAGAGGAAGTAAATGCACGTTACCAGAATAATGAATGCAAGTGGTCCATAAAATGCACCAAGGCTTGGCTCCCATGACATCCAACAACTATACATCAGGGTAGGGTGAACGGTGGAATAGAGTTTAAAAAAAAAGAAAGAAATCAAATTAATAATATGGAAGACAAATTACCTGCTAATGCAAAATAAAGACATAAACTGCAAATTGTTTAGAAAAAATATGTCCTCTACAAAAATGGGACTTACATATGTACAGTGAAGGTAATTGCAGGTAGTCCTCTACTTACTTAAAACATTCATTTAGCAACTCTTCAAAGTTAAAATGTCATCGAAAAAAGTGACTTATAACCAGTCCTTGCACTGTACAACTGTTGCAGCATCCACATGGTTACATGATCAAAATTTGGGCACTTGGAACTAGCACGTATTTACAACACTTGCAGTGTCCTGGATTCACATGATCGCCATTTGTGACTTTCCAAATGGGCTTCTGACAAGCAAAGTTAATGGGGGAAGTCTCAAAGATGCTTTTTCAAAAGGCAACTGTTTTTTCCTTGAGGAAGATGTTTCGCTTCTCATCCAAAAAGCTTCTGCAGTTCTGACTGAATGTTGAGAGCAGGGGTGGAAATGGAAGGATTTATATTCCTTTACAGTCATCTGATCATTAGCACTCTGTCTGAGAGCCGTTTATCTGTGCCATCAGGGTCACTTTAACCACTTGTCTCCTGTTTACAACACAGTCCTTTCAGCAGTTCCAAGAAGATTCCACACCTATTTGCAGGTGACCCTGATGGCACAGATAAACTCCCAAATGGCCTCAACAGCTTTCAGAGAGAATGCTAACAACTGGATGACTGCAAAGGAAAATAAACCCTTCCATATCCACCACCACTCCCATTCAATCAGAACTGAAGAAGCTTTTTAGATGAGAAGTGAAACGTCTTCAAAGAGAAAAAAGAAAGTCCAGTTGCCTTTTGAAAAAGCACATTTGAGACAATCATGATCTGGAGAACTAAGAATCTCCATAGTCAATGGGGGGGGGAATGGGATTTGCTTAATGACTGCAGGATTCACTTAACAACAGCAATATTTGCATAACAACCATGGCAAAAGGTAATAAATTCAGGCACGATTCAGTTAGCCACCTTGCTTGGCAATGAAAATTTGGGTCCCAATTCTAGTTGTAAGTGGACTATCTGTAACACCTATCTGGTTTTTACCATTTTAAGTAATATTTTTGATAGGATCTCAGCCTATTGCAGAGGTCCCCCAGTGAGCTCAGTGGCTGAGGTAAATGTGAAACTCCTTTTAATCTCCATCTCACACTGGCTCTCATATCATACAAGAAAATAAGTTTTTATTAAAGCTCTCTAGATACCAAATGCAATACTCTGGTTTTGAAACACCGCTAATAAAATTATCTTGCAGTGTACTGTCAAATCTGAGTGCATACACAGAGAAAAATTGTGGATGTTTAGGGATTCACTCACTCATAGGTATCTGATACAAACTACAATGATAAAACGATGATGAAATGTGCATTGCAACATCACAACACTAACTCTATCCTTTCACAATGTCCCTTATATTGGACACAGGTATGGCAGGCATGTGGTTTATAGTGCAACATACACTTTGTCACTCGCACCCCTTCCCTCTCCCCTCCCTACATCCCCACTTGAATTCTCTTCTTGATTCCAATTAAAAGAAAAAAAAAGATGGGAAATGGGGCTTACTTAGAGCCACTAGTATAGACATTTTTTGTCAGTGTGCTTGCTGAAATCTCTCTTTACTCTTTTTGGGTAAGGAAGTGGAGGAAGCAGACTCTTCTCAGCTAATGTAAAGGAGGGGAGCAGTTAACATACATGAACCTGGAAGAACAAAAGTCTTTATCCACCAACCCAGTGCCCACAGCTGGATAAAGTAATATATGAATTTAAATAATCATTTAAAGGTAGTCCTCAAACTACAACTGTAATTAAACCCAAAATTATGGTCATAAGTTTGTTGCAGTTGTAAGCTGAAGCACCACATGACTCCACTTGATTTTTTTTTTTGACTTTTTTGTGGTATTTGTTTAGCAAATGCAGTGGTCATTGAGCAAATGCTGCAGTTTTTAAGCAACTCCATTTTTCTGGAAACAGTGGAACTGGCAAAAAAAGTTGTGAATTGCACTCAGGTTACCCTGAGATGCTTGCGAACGGCTGCAAAGGCGAATTTGTGGGGCAGGTGTGGCCATCATATCTTTGAAAACCAGCTGTAATTTCGGGGAGGTCCCTCTTAACTTCAAATGGACGTTAAGTGACTCGTTGTAAGTTGAGGACCACCTGTAAACATCTCCACCAGGGAAGAATAGGGAGTGAGTGGCTGTCCTGGAGTGGGCCTTTTCAGTGGTAGCCCCCTGACTTTAGGATGACCTCCCTAGTTAGGGTACAATGATACAATCTGTACTGTTATTACAGTGCTGGGCAACATCTTCTTCTTCTTCTAAGAGCCAGGCCTAATAATTCATATGCTAAATGACTATGGAAATAATTCATAATTACAGATAATCCTCAACTTACGACCACTATAGAGGCCAACATTTATGTTGCTAAGCGAAGTGAAGTTTTGCCCCAGTTTACAACTTTTATTGTCACATTTGTTAGGTGGATCACTGCAGTTGTTAAATTAGTAACACGGTTCTTAAGTGAATCTGGCTTCCCACTTAACTTTGCTTGTCAGGAGGTCGCAGAAGGGGATCACGTGGCCCCAGGACACTGCAACCATCATAAGTATGAGTTAGTTGCTAAGCGACCGAATTTTGACCATGAGGATGCTGCAATGGTGGTAAGTGTGAAAAATGATCATAAGTCATATTTTTCAGTGTCGTTTTAACTTCAAACAGTCACTAAACGAACTGCACTACCTGTTATTTTCTTCCTTATTGCTGTTGTGATGGTTTTCCTTAGTTTTATTCCAGGGACTTTTGAGTATAGGTTTTTTCCTCCCCCAAATATCCTGAGCAGCCACTTACAAAGGCTCTGCTTTCCAGGCACTAGGATGAACAAGGGGATAAACTCTGAGCTGCTTCAGTAGATGCTCACATGTACCTTTCAGGTTGTGCAATGCAGCCTTATTTGAATTTTTCTTGCTCTCAAGCGCTTCTCCGTAACACATAAAATATTAACAGCTTTCTCTGATTCCTCAGAACAGTTTGCTTGATTTATGAAAAAACAAAACAAAACCTTCCCTCAGACAATCTCTAGATATCCCAAAAGTCTTTCAAGAGCTGCACAGTATATAGCAAGTAAAATGAAGTGAGAGCCAATGGAATTGTCCCCTTCGCTGGGTGGTGATATCTTCAAAATGGTCTTTATCACAGGCCACTTCAAAACTTAGCTCCGTAAAAACTGAAGTTAGAACGTCTACATTTCTATGTCGTGTTGTGAAAAATGAATAAGGCATACACAACACTGTGCTGTGATTTAGTCTAACTCTTTCTCCCCTGAGCAATTTTACCCCTCCACCTGCTTCCTGGTTTTCTACTCATATTGTGATATCTGGTATTGATTGCCTGTGATTAAAGTGATTAAATAAAGTAGCACAACCTCTGTGACAGTGCTGGCAGGAAAGTCTCCCACAAATTTATGAACATAAATAATCAGATCTCTTAACATCCTGTTGATTATAAGTGATTGTCTAATCACGTGATGGAATAAATAGGTTTTAATAGGATAGAACTTCCAGAAGAGTTTTGCCAGGGTTCTTCATTTTTCTAATGTATTTCTCAAATGAAATTTCTTAAAAGTATTTTCATGAAGGAAAAACAGAGTTTGCTTTACTTCCTCCACTTTTCTACAAATATGGGAACACCAAATCTGCCAGGACATTAATTGAAATGCTTTCCTTAAATGCTATCAAAATATTGTAATACACAATTTATTAATGCCTCTTTAGTACTTTTTAGTACTCAGTTAAATCAATGCATTTAGAAGAAATCAGTAGACTTCTAAACAGGTATGTGTCCCCTCATGCATTTATATATTTACTTTAGAAACATTAAAAACCATAATTGAGGGTTTTTGGGCTGTGTGCAGAGTATAATACATAATGTTATAAAATGACAAAAACCACATGCTAATGCACAGTCACTAACTGGACAGGGATCCTGGATTAGGTGCTATGGTTCCAGACTGAAAGTTATTTAATCATGACTTACTCTTACAAGAAATACAGTGGCATCATACATGGAAAATAAACGGATATACTTACAACTGAGCTCCGGCGTAACTTTTTATCCCATAATTATTTATGTTGGTTGCTGCAGTAATTCCACAGATAATAAAAGGAACACCTCCACTAATCAGATAGAACCTGTTTCAAAGACAATTATTTGATAAGTGAATTTGCTTGGCATCAGGTAAAGATTTTTAATATTTGAAACAAGAGTCTTTGAAAGCAGAATGTAATTCAATTCATCTGTTTTAAACCCATTAAAACTGGAAATAAAACAAACTGCAAACACAATGTGATGATCTAGGACAGTGGTGGCGAACCTATGGCACGCATGCCAGAGGCGGCACTCAGAGCCCTCTCTGTTGGCATATGTGCCACCGCCATCAGCAGCAGGTTCATCAGGCTGTCCCCGCCGCCCAGAGCAGGAGCCCCACCCAGCACAAAGGAGGCAAAGTGGTTGACTAGCAAGCTCGAGTAGAAGTGGTAGAGCAGAGGTCACCAACCATTGTCGATTGGTGGACTGGAAGAAAAGGGAGGGGAAAGCATTTTACATGCGTGCACGCATGCACAGGGCCGAGAGCACACACGCACTGCAAATGGGGCAGAGCTAGTGCCTGTGTGATACTCACTAGCTCTGCTCCATTCTTATGTGGTGTAGCGCCTTGTATCTGCACCCTGTGGCATAGTGGTGGCCATTTTTGCACCTTGCAGCACGGTGGCCCATTTTTGTGCCCCTGGTTTTTGTGTGCCAGAAGCGGCACTCAGAGGTACCACCCAGCCCCCCACGAGGGCACCACAATGCTGATGCGGCCCTGGCACTTTGCAATAAATAAGTGGGTTTTGGGTTGCAGTTTGGGCACTCAGTCTCTAAAAGGTTTGCCATCATTGATGTAGGAAGTAAAATATTTAAATTTAGAGACACATAGTTTAGAATTTCAGTGTGAAATGCATTCAAAACTGGGACATTTCAATAAAAATGTATTTTCATTTAACCATGGATACAACCCTCCAGTAAGAAAAAAAAAATGAAAATCCCAACATTCCAGTTTTAAAAATGAAACCTGTTTTCAAACAAAATCTTGGTGAAGATTTTTGTTTAAATACAGAAGATAAGATAATTTTATTCTGAAAAATTAGCCGAACCACAATTTCAAGCAAAATGACCATATGTATTATGTGTGACATGTATTATTATTCAACTTCTAGTATATAAAAAAGTATAACCTTGCAAAAGGCCTATTAAATTAAGCCATTATCCTTTGTAAACTTGGCAGCATCTTCTCTATTCCCAATCTAGAACCTGAGCTAATGAGACAAAAATATATCACAATACAGGCTTTGGACAAACCATTGTTTTGTTTCATGTTGGAAAAAAACAGAAGTTCTATCTTACTTGATTATGTAATTAATGTGCTAGAACCCTAGATGACGAACCTGAACCCATGAGCTTCCAATCTTGAACTTTCCCTTTGTAAATATTAGTGCACAGCAAAACTTTTGATAGCAGATATGGGATCTGGTGCTCTAAACCAGGGGTCCTCAACCTTGGCAACTTTAAAACTTGTGGACTTCAACTCCCAGAAGTCCTCAGCCAGCAAAGCCAACAATATTGTTCTGTCCCAAAGAGATGTAGAAAACAAGAAGAAGACATATTGCCAAGCTAGAACATCTCTTCAATAGAGATGCTAAAAGCTAGAACAATCCAAAGCCAAGAATACAAAATAAAGATGGCAAACAGGAGAGAAAAGTGTGAGCACTACGTAGGGCAATGTTGGTATAGTGATATGCATATATACATATAGTGAAAAAATCTATTTAGTATTATACGTAATTCAGAAATTCTGCATACAGGGTTTAGGAAAAGAACCTTCTCTGCCATTGCCCCCACTCTATAGAACAGCTTGTTCCCAGAAGCAAGGGAGGCCCCTCCCCCACTGTTCCAGCCTTCCGGAAGAGCATGAAGACTTGGATCTGCCAACCGGCCAAGGGTTCTAAGCGTGCCTTGCAACCCTGGGGGTGGTTGGTGGGCTGAAAGCACTTCTGCCTTTAACTCTGCAATTGTTCTTTTTAACTCTGTCTTCAATCTGGGTTTTAACTTTGTTTTTAATTACAGCTTTCATATGATTGTTACTGTCTTATTTGTAAACTGCTCAGAGTCACACCAGTGTGATGTGCAGTATAGAAATTTGATAAAATAAATAAATTATGATAAGCATGTTGCCCCCAGCGTGATGTGCAGTATAGAAATTTGATAAAATAAATAAATTATGATAAGCATGTTGCTTCCAGCCATTGCCTTGGCCTCTGCTGATCCTGGCTGCCTGGAACACTTAGCAGCTGGCCCAGGCTTAATTGGTATTCATTGTGCCAACGAGGAGGCTATATCTCTCAAGCTTTTCTTCTTAAAATGTCCTTATGTGCTTTTTGAAAAGGAAAATTAGAGCAATGTCTCCAAACTAGCCAGAAGGGAGGTCCAGAAGAGTAAACACTGCTTGGGAGCAGGTATAGCTAGTCCTCGACTTACGAATGTAATGGAGCCTGCCCATTCCATTCATAACTCGAGGATAGGAGTGAGTCTTGTACTTTGAACGCGATTCACTCCCAGCTTTTGCCCATGCATTCGCTAATTTAATGCATGGGCAAATGCACAGCTCGTTAAGTGAACATGAGGTATCTCAGGGTGGGGAAGGCCATGGAACTAGTTATGGAACAGGCCACCAGCTTGAGACCCCCTCCCCGAGATACTTCATGCTCCCTCCCCTGGGATCCCCACAATTGCTCTCCTGCCCAGTCCTACCATGCTGGGTCATTTATCTTGTGAAGATCTGTCTCCTCTCCAGCCTCTTTGTTTCTTTCTCTACTCCTGGCAAGAGCAGAGGGAGGCCTCCTAGGCCCAGAACGGACCTCTGGAAGCATGTGGCCACCACCCATGGCCTCCGTTCTGGGCCTCGGAGGCCTGGAGGAGGCCTTGGAGGCCCAGAACAGGCCTCCGGAGAGTTGCGGAAGCATCTCCAGCCTCCTTTATAGATGGCAGCGACCCGGAAAAGGCCTCCAATGCCTGTATCGGGCCTCCAGAGATCAGCTGAAGCCTCCCCTGGCATCCTTTCTGGGTGGCGGAAGTCCGGAAAAGGCCATCAATGCCTGGATTGGGCCTCCAGAAACTACCCCTGGTCTCCTTTCCGGGTGGCAGCAGTTCGGAAAAGTCCTCCAATGCCCAGATTGGGGCTCTAGAGGCAACAGAAGGATTCCCTGGCCTCTTTTCTGGGTGGTAGCGGCCCAGAAAAGGCATCCAACACCTGGATCAGGTGTTCAGATGTCCGCAGAAATGTTCCCAGGTTCCTTTCTGGGTGGCAGCGGCCTGGTAAAGGCCTCTGATGCCCGGATTGGGCTCCTGGAGGCATGCACAAGCCTCCCCTGGCTTTTGTTCCATTTTCTGTTGCAGAGAACAGAAGCCTAAACTACTGTCAGATCACACGAGATAAGCATCGTGAGATCTCATGCCACTGATCTCGTGTGATTTTGCATTACTTTAGGCCTTCATTCTCTGTGAATGCACCAAAGGCATGGAGCAGTCAAGAAAGGGAAGGATCTCTCGATCTTTGCAGGTGGGTATCCATAGGCCTAGTGCCTAGGGAGATCCGGGGCGGGGGGTGCAGGGAGGGAATAGCCAGGGTGAATGTTGCAGTGCCACTGCAGTTGTTCGTAAGGGTGAACAACTGCTGCAGTGTGGCAACATTCGTAATTTTGGGACTTTTTCGTAAACACTAGGGGGTGCTTATCAGGTAACTTCGAACGTTTGCTAAGGGAACGCTCGTAACTCAGGGATTACCTGTACCATATGAAATATATGGCAGAGAAGGGATGCTGGATAAAAAGGAATGTAGAAAATGCACTGTGCATGCCTAGGTCAGAAAAGCTGGATTACATGATATATTTATTCATTATGCTGACATAAACTAAATATTATTTATGTTGTATAAAAAGTTTTAATAATTAAGCAGCCTTATCATTTCTTTTGCTACTTACATACACAATAAATAATAGTGAAATACAGGATGTTGACACTAGTTACTTCTTAGAACCAAACCCATCTAGGAGTATGTAATGTATATTAGTAACTGTTATAATTAAATAGTGAATTATTGTCAGGCCCTATCATAAGCAGAACAAATTTCCTAGGAAACATATATTTTTTCAATAAAACACCCGTCTTAGTGTAAATTCCCTACAATCAACGTTGTATAGAAATGACTGATTGAAAGAAGCTCTAGAGAGGTGACGCTCAATCTAACACTTCAACAACCCTTGAAAGAACAAAAATCCACCTTTCCCATGAATGACAATTCTATGTTATATACATTTTGCTATTAAAATTAATTAAAAATTGCATCTCTTTGCCAGCAACTCTTTCCCAGCTTTGATTTTATTATCACTGTAAATGGTTTTCTGCTCTAGTCCAAAAGGCTATTCATGGCACCCTCTTCCCCAGCCAATGAACTCCCCAATCGTGGGCTGCATCAGAGAAGCTTTGGTTGCAGTAGTCACCAAAGCTTCTTGCATCCCTTATTTTATATCTCTGCAACAGAGAAAAGATGCAATTTGCCACTTTGAGGCAAAAGGAAAGGGCTGATGGAAAGAAGGTAATGGTAGTGATGAGAAGAAGGAAAGCTGCTGCTAATTCAAGTCAGACATATTTTCCTCAAGGCTTCCCCAAGCGATTCATCACCCCTTTTCTTCTCCGCACTGTGAGATCTGTGTTCACTCAGAAGAACCAAGAAAAACAAATACAGTAGTGGAGGGAGAAGTTGAGGGGCAAACCTTTCCTCTCGCTTATTGTCAACAGGATCATGGAAAAAATAAATCCTTGGTTGGCAATGCTCTGGAACTCATGCAGCAGCACTTTCCCTGCTAAGCTCAAATGAGTCAGAGTGCAGAAGTACTAGTGGTTTATGGCAGGGGTCCCCAACCCCCGGTCCATGGACCAGTACTGGGCCGCGGCAGGCCAGAAACCGGGCCGCACAAACAAGCAAAGCCCCATCCATGGGATGCAGGCAGCACAGAAAACCATGCCCCCTCCAGTCTGCGGAAAAACCTCTCTCCAAGTAACCGGTGCCTGGTGCCCAAAAGGTTGGGGACCT